GGAAGATACCAATGATTCGGAGAAACATACTGTCTCCATCTTCGAGGCTGATAAGAAAACCCAAAGTATGGAAACCGATCTGCGGGTAGAGATTTGAAACCAGGATCTCACGAATATGTAAGAATGCTAACCACTCGGCTGTCATGTGCTGTTATTATTATTAGTGTTCTGTGTGACGACAGGTCCATATGAACAGGATCCTTCCATCCTTTTCTCGGACTGGGACCTGTTCATACACGTTCTTGGCAGATGATCCAGAAGTGGTTTGCCATTGCCTTCTTCTGTGTGTGAATGGGGTAGTAGTTGTTGGGATGCCACGGAAAAACCGGGGAAGCCCCCGGAGGAAAACTCCGTGTTGCCTAGACCACGGCCTTGCCCAACACAAGTTAAAAATTCGGGCACCGCCTTGAATCGAACCCGAGACCCCAGGATTACAAGGCCAGCGTTCTAACCGCTAGACCACCGTGGCTGTCCATGTGCTGTGCACTTGGATAAATATATTATCACTTTTAATAGACTCTGTACAATACATTACTGAATAAAATACCAGTTTAGGACTATGAATATACCTGCAAAATTACAGAGTGACGTATCAGTATTTACGATAGGGTGCCAACCAAACTTTGCCAATCTCAACCAAAAGGCTGGGAACCTAAACATTATTCTGTCGCGGAGTGTCATATTCAACTATTGGTCAATCTGAAGGCAAGATGCAACTAGGTTGGACGCGGATAAAGTTGGCAGAAAATAGCTGACGGTGACCTGAATAATCAGCATTTCTCTTAGTCCGCGTAACTGGTAGCTAGCCTGAAAAAAACATGACTGTAATTCATGTATAATTTTGTACAGTCGCAGAAACAACATTTAACTTTAGGGCCAATGGTTTGCGGTAACCACGCAAACCACCATTTCTTTTTAACATAACTTATTTAATTTTTTTTTCAACTAGTAAATTACCTATCAAGAATGACGAGATTATTTCCACTGCGTCTAGACCGTTTATGTAGTCCATCATCTTCTTATACCGCAACAAAATAAGGCTTTTTATTTGTGGTAAAGCAGTTACAGCGTGAAGATGTTCATTGAATTCCACTCATAGTCGAGGTTGAGAATTTATCAGTTGCCAGAGTCAATTCGTTCATTTCGATTCGTGTCTACTC